CAATATTCAAATCTTATTTAGGTGCGTTAGAGATGTTGGTCAGAGTTGCCATACCTTATAAAAAACACTCAATCACTAATTTTGAATATTCACCAGATGCAATGCCCCATAGTTGTGTCCATTGTTTCTACATTTTTCATGTACATGTTACAATGGCTTTCTTTCATGTTGTAGACCACGAAATAGCAACTGATTTACAATTGAGATACAGGTTTTCACAAAAACAAAATAAATTATAAAATGATAAACCTCACAATTGAGCGTTTAAACCAGGGGTGAGTCAGAAGTATAAATTATTATATTAATCGTAACGTAATAATGCGTGACAAAATATGCATGCCTCCAACAAAAAAAATCTCAAAACACCACACAACATGTCGTGAAAAACACACATACAGTAGTGCCTCAGGCCCTGCACATCTTGCTATATCTTCAACAGAAAGTTAATTTTAAGGTTTATCAGCACACTATTGTAATGAGAGTCGACATTATATGACCACCAACTGAAGCTTAAAAGAAACAGGACAACACCCAAAACACAGACTAAATCAACAACAGATTGACTTTTAAAGGGGTCATATGATGCATTTTCATGTTTTCCTTTTTCTTTAGTGTTATGTATCTGTTTGTGAGTGTATATGATCTGCAAAGTTACAAAGCTCAAAGTCTGCCACAAAAAAAAACCTAAACGAAACACGCCGAAAACACCTCGATTCAATCCCCCCTTTACGTTACTATGTGGGAATATTTGCATAATGCCGCACGTAATACGTAAAGAATGAAGGCAGGGTTTCAGGTAAGGCAGTAGTGCTGTTGCCGCCATATTGTGGAGACTCTGTGTGTTTCTATGCGAAAGCAAAATCACTTTATTTGACCTTCCAAAAAGTGAATACAATTAAGAAACAGTGGTTAAGATTTATTTGCAACACTGTTCCAGAACAGTGCAAACCAAATGCTTGAGTGTGTGCAGCTCATTTTACAGAGGACAGTTTCCTGAACCTGAGAGAGTACAAAGCAGCAGTGCACAAAGGCTGTTTGTAAAAAATGGGGCAATTTCAACTTTGCTATAGGCCAATTTGGTGCTTCTGAATCAGAGACTGTAAGTGTTTTATTATTTGCTATTGACTGTTTAAACGGTGACGTGTTGAGTAACGCACGTTGTTTCCGATCTATCGGTTTGGTCATCTGCATTCAGATTTATTTGACTCAGGCTTGCTATGGTAAAACTGACAACATTATTAACTGTCTTTATAATTGCTTTGGAAGCAAATGTTTGTGGTTATGGTAAGGGGCATTACATTTCCAACACACGCTTGAGATGTTTGGCCAATCACAACGCACTGGGTCAGCTGACCAATGTAACTATTCAGAAGGAGAGGCTTTGTAGAAATTGATGCGTTTTAGACTGGGCATAGAGGAGCTATAATAATGTACCGAATGTGAAAAATAATGTGTTTTTTGAACATTAAAGCATGCTCAGGGGCGGATTTAGTGAATTGGGGGCTCCAGGCAAAATACAGGAATGGGGCCCTATACATTTGCACACATTTTCCTAGATCAACCTTGAGGTTCCTTTGTTGTTGTGATGCTTGCTGCTGCACAATGGTGCCCCATAGTTGTGTCCATTGTTTCTACATTTTTCATGTACATGTTATAATGGCTTTCTTTCATGTTGTAGACCACGAAATAGCAACTGATTTACAATTGAGATACAGGTTTTCACAAAAACAAAATAAATTATAAAATGATAAACCTCACAATTGAGCGTTTAAACCTGGGGTGAGTCAGAAGTATAAATTATTATATTAATATGTGGGTGGATTTTCGCATTGGTCTGAACAAAAACTACAGACTGGATTATTGAAAATGAGCATTCATTCTCTGCCAGAAGGAGGCGCTTTTGGAACGTCAGAAATATAGAATGAGAAAAGTGTGAAAAAATATAGCCAATATTAACGAGGAAAGTCCACTGATGAGTTACCAGCGTAAGCCTGTGTGCAAAGGCTGTCTAATTCTAAACTTTAAAAATACATGTATTTTTAGTTATTTTAACTACAAATTTAAGTACAACTGAAAAAAAAATGAAAAGGCAATTATACATTTACACACCTAAGGATTATAACAACCAAAAAAGTAACTGCGTATGTATCCTCTACTTGGTTCCTTCTCATTAATGAGTAAGCGGCATTTAAAACAATTATAAACATATAATACACACTGTTTCTCAATATTTAATTACAGCTTCAGATGCATAATATTTTAATCTCCTTAAAGCAGGATACACAAAAAGCACGTTCAACTCGGACGGTTGTCGTGGTAATAAACACCGTAATCAGCAACCGTTTGCGTGTCAGCGCTTAATGCGCATCTCCTATGAAAAGCATTTTAGGGGGCCCTTGACTTTTGGGGGCCCAAGGTGGTCGCCTATCTTTGCCTAATGGGTAAGTCCGCTCCTGAGCATGCTAACATATTCTATCACACCCGATACACAAAATAATGATCTTTGAAAATAGCATCATATGAGCCCTTTAACAAAAGAAAACAGACCTTCTGGAGTGAAGCAATCAGAGTCCTGACCTCAAACCCGCTGAGATGCTGTGATATCACCTTAAGAGAGCAATTCACACCAGATATATCAAGAAAACCACTAAAATGAAACCACTTTGGTGCTAAATTCCTCCCGACCATGTGCAGGTCTGATGCACAATTACAGGAAACCCTGTGTGGAGGTTATTGCTTCCAAGAGTAGCACAGAATCACTAACAGCAATTACAAATAAGAAAAAAAATCAAATTAAATCACATCAAATTAAATCAAGATACATTTACTTTACATTAAAATATATAAAAAAAATTTAAACAAGAATAAAAATATCTGCCAATGGGGTCAGAAAAATAATCATGTTTTCCCTTTGAATTAAGTTTATTTTTCTAAACCCACTTACAGATTTTTTTAAGCATAAACTCATTTCTTTCTGATACATTTTTCATAATATCTTATGTCATTTTGATTCTCAAGTAAATGTATCTTGATTTAAGAATTTTTATATACTGTATAAGACAAAAATACTACTTAAGAAAATATTTTTTGCAGTGTCCCTGATTTTTATTAATTTGTTGTAAAATGTAACTGTTATCACCAGGGTTTGAAATTAACACCCATCAACCCGCCAAATGTGGGTAAAAATCAGCTGTGGTGGGTAACGCTGTCAAATCACTAGCCAATTTGGTGGGTAACTTTTCGTAAATTATGTTCACGCATTAATTTCTTGGGGAAGTTCATGCAGGTCAAATCTGTGCAGGTTTAGCACAAATACTGAACTCGTGAGACATCATGACATTATTGAGTATATTGCAAAAGCTAAACAAAACACACGCGACGTGATGAAGTCTGGTTAGACCAGAGGTGCCCAAACTCGGTCCTGGAGGGCCGGTGTCCTGCAGAGTTTAGCTCCAACTTGCCTTAACACACCTGCTGGGAAGTTTCTAATATGCCTAGTAAGAGCTTGATTAGCTGGTTCAGGTGTGTGTAATTGGGGTTCAAGCTCAACTCTGCAGGACACCGGCCCTCCAGGACCGAGTTTGGGCACCCCTGGGTTAGACCAACACAGGATTTAGTGCGCGTGCGCTTTTAGAGTGGTTCTTTCACTGCATGATTCAGTCTATTAATATGCATTAAGAATGATCACATAATTCAAGATAAGGAGGCAGAAAATGAATATATTTATATCAATTCATATACTTAATCAATATCACACAAAGAGTGCCGTGTTTTCTTAAAAAATCAGCATGGTTACAAATGTGATATTTATTTTATACAACAGTTCAATAAACAATAATTTAATATCAAGAGACTTACGTTTTAGACACCATATTGGCTGTTTTTATGCTATTTCTGTGCTATTTCGCCAATAAAAAAAAAACATTCCAAACACAGTCACGGTACTGTTCTGCGTCTCTGAGCAACATGACTTTGTTTTGTTTCTGAATGAATCAACCGTGTAAATGATTTGGTCAATGACTCACTTAACAGTGACTTGCTGCCACCTACTGGCGGTTTTAATTTCAATTTAATATCTTTTCATTTTTTAAATAATTTCAAATATCAGTATTAAGCATTTCATGTTTTAAATATCAAAACATTATTTATGCATTTGTAACTGCAGTTTAAAGCATTCCTTGTCCCTCTAAGCTGCATTAACGTGTAAATACATCTAAAAGCCACTTCATATGCAACTTCTGCAGATTAATTTTATTGATACTGATTTAATTTGTTTAGTACCCGCCTAAATGTATTGTTATTATAATTGACTGATTAAATGTAAGAATTTGATGTCACTTTTAGAAAAAAATGCTTTATAAAGGTAAGAATGCCCATAAAAGTTAAAAATCAATTTAAATTGATTGGAAAAGCTTAATTTCTATCACTGCTGTGAACTGACCCGCACACAGAATATGAAGAATATCAAAAACTTTATGAGTCAGCTGTCCACGGTAGTCCTTAAGATATCAGCACAATAACACACTCAGCAAAATATTGTCTAATTACCTTTATCGATAAAATCACAGAAAATATTGAGAATTTTTTGTCAATATCGCACACCCCTAGTACTGAGTACAGTCGCTTTGTCATGCCCAGTGTAGACGGCCTCAAACTGTTGGTGTATTTCTGTTTTTTTTGTTTTGGCTAGTAGAAGTTATAAATGGCCGGTAACTTAAAAATTTAGTAGCCAAATTGGCTGGTGAGTGAAAAAGTTAATTTCAATCCCTGGTTATCACCCAGCTTTTTATATGAATTAGATATACAAGTACGTCCAACTGTATCTGCATAAATGCAGTATATATGTGTATGGCAATATGTACTATATAACAAATATTAACTGCTTGACTGCTTCTATTGTTACAAAATGTAAAATATTTCAGCGTCCCGGTCAATGTGTATTGTTAAAAAAATGCAAAATTTTTACTTCAATATATGATACATTTTTGTTTGTTTCTTACCTTAAACTCTGTCTCTATGTTGGCAAGTCGTGCGAGTTCGTTGCTGAGCTCTAGTGCGGTCAGTACGGGATCTTCACTGGACAGTGACAGGTAGGCGGCGCTAGCGAGCCCTTTGTACGCATTCATGCGTGATCTGGAGTGACTGAACGAGTCGCGTCTCTGTTTCTCTGTGCACTCGCAGCACTTGCAGAAGTAGTCATGTGGCCGCTCGATCCTGGCGCCCTTCATCAGCAGGATGTGTACGATCTCGTACTCCTGACAGTGTGCGGCCAGAATCACCGGCGTCACGTCATGCGAAAACCGCGTCCCATCCTCGTCGTAAGCATAAAAGTCGTCATCCCTCAGTTCCTGCTCCAGCGGGCTCAAAGTCAGTCTCAGACCGCCTGCGAATGCCGGATGAGCCAAAATGGCCTCCACGATTCGCACGTAACCTTTGCTGATCGCCAAAAGAAGTGCGTCGCCAATGCGTGCCATCCCGTCCTTCTTTAGCAAGAGCTCTGTGACCTCCAGGTGCTCGTTGCCGACTGCTAACTGCAGCGTGTTTTGCCCCATGTAGTCCACGCAGTTGAAGTTAAGCGTTTTGGACTCATCCAGCATTTTGCGGACGACAGGAATGTTACCGTACTCTGCTGCATCAAGGAAACGCTCCTCCTCCGCTGTGAGGCTGGTGCCGCGTTCGTTGAACATGTAGGCAGGGCCTCGGATGGCCTGCCGACGGCCCTTCTCTCGCAGGGTGGTGTGCCTGCGATGCATGACCTCTGACCTGAGAGAAAACAAAAACAAAAATTGTTGAATAAAGTTATTTTTTGTTTTTTTTTGTGAACAAAAAGTATTCTCTTAGCTTCATAACATGGACTATTTTAACGATGTCTTTAATACCTTTCTGGGCCTGTCAGTTGCGTTGCAGTCTATGGGAGGGACAGAAAGCTCTCCGATTTCATCAAAAATATCTTAATTTGTGTTCCGAAGATGAACGAAGGTCTTACGGGTTTGCAACGACATGAGTGTGAGTAATTAAAGACAGAAGTTTAATTTTGGGGTGAACTATCTCTTTAACAGAAGTAAAACAGAGCATAAATAATATTTCAGTTCATTGCTAAGGTAAAATTTCAAATTTTCATTTAGTTTAAGTTGAAGTACTAAAATTACTAAAACTAAAACTGAAATAAAACAAAAAAAATACTATATAGACAATAATAATAATAATAATAACAATAATATTTAAAGCAATTACTAAAACCTCAAAATATTAATAAATACCATGTTCATAATGATACAAAAATAACATTGATTTTAACAACATCTCATTTAGTTTAAGTTGAAGTACTAAAATTACTAAAACTAAAACTGAAATAAAATGAAAAAAATACTATATAGACAATAATAATAATAACAATAATATTTAAAGCAATTACTAAAACCTCAAAATATTAATAAATACCATGTTCATAATGATACAAAAATAACATTGATTTTAACAACATGAAGAAAACGTCACAAACTAGCTGTAAAAGGTTGCTTCAAAATAGCTTAAATGAGTGTGTTTAATTCAACTAGTCTAATCTGTTCTGCTCACTGCACAGCACAAGATTCAGTCCATAACTGTTTGTCAATAGACTGACGGTCTAAAATAGCCAATCACAGCTCTCCTTTTAGAAGTTGCTAAATTGGCCTTTCACGCCACATGAGACTGTCTGACCTCTGATTGGCCCAATAATCAATGACATCAGAGATCAGCTCGGGGCTGCAGCGCTTTCAATGGATCTCACACAGACAGACACGTGATGTTCAACAGTAGGAGAAAAAGCTAAGAAATTGCCACAATTTCAACACACACATTTCAATTTTTGTCATTTCCAGATAAGAGTCTGTGTGATAGTCTGATTTTCCATCATAAAGCACAAGAGGGTGAATATATCACACTTCAAAAATGACATGATTGTAGGATGCAAATTTGTTTGTAAAATCATATCAATTTTAGCCCTCTTGATCACAGTCTTGTCTAAAATTGCACACATATGTTTCAGGAGAAAATGTACTCAGAAGCAACTAGTTTTACACTCACAAACTGGTTATACAGCATAAAAACATAGATGCACTCACGCACACATGAAACATACATGTGCAGTGAGCAGATCATTATGTCATCTGGTGAATGCTGTGCTGCTTTGAACATTTAATTTCCAAATGCTGTCAAACTCTCTGTGAGCGAGATATTTCATACTGCAGCAAATCACGAGAGTCACAATCTGCTATAAAACAAAAACACTCTCAGCTTTTACACACACACAAACCCAGAGAGAGAATCCAAAGTTTTCCGGCTAGACCCACCAATGCAGCATATGTTGTTTAATTAGTGGTGTTTGTTAAGTCAAGCATAACGATTGCTGTTGCTCATATTTATGTTTATGATTTGATCAGACCTCTAACACTAAGTATGAAAGTCCAGTGTGTGCATCATGTGATGTTGAGGAGAGTGTGCTGGTGCTTCACTAAGTGATCAGACCCACAATTTTCACCTGCTGGAGCAGAAAACAGGTGATCCTACAGACTAACATTGAAAGACCTAAGACACATTTACAGACCAGAAGATCACAGAGACATGAGGATGCAGGACTACTGAAGACCAGAGAGGAAGAACACACCAAGCAACCACTCCGACCACCTTAGCAACCATTTAAGAATAACGTCCTTGCAACCACCCTGAATACTCTAGCAACCACTTACAGTAGGAATTGCCTTGCAACATTCTGGCAACCATCCTGAACACCCTAATATCACATAAGAATGCCCTAGCAACACTCTAACAACCACCAAAGTGTGTCCCAGCAACGCCCTAGTAGCCGCCCTGAACACCCTAGCAATCACTTAGGAATGTCCTAGAAACACCCAAACAACCACCTAAGAGTGTCCTAGCAATCCCCTAGCAACTGCCCTGAACACCCTAGCAATCACTTAGGAATGCCCTAGCAACACCCTAACAACCACTTAAGAAGGCCCTAGCAAGTCAAATAACCACTTAAGAATGCCCTAGCAATACTCTAACAACCACCTAAGAGTGTCCCTGCAACGCCCTAGTAACCCCCCCCCCCTCCCCCTCCGAACACCCTAGCAATCACTTAGGAATGCCCTAGCAACGTCCTGGGATCCACTTTGGACACGCTAGCAACAACCTGAGAATGCCCTAGCAACACCCTAGCAACCACCTAAGAATGCCTTAGCAACACCTTAACCACCATTTAAGAATGCCCTAGCAACACTCTAACAACCACTTAAGAATGCCTTAGCAACACCTTAGCAACCACCTGAGAATGCCCTAACCACCACATAAGAGTGTCCCAGCAGCACCCTAGTAACCACCCTGAACACCCTAGCAATCACTTAGGAATGCCCTAGCAACATCCTAACAACCACTTAAGAATGCCCTTGCAACACCTTAACCACCACTTAAGAATGCCCTAGCAACACTCTAACCACCACCTAAGAATGCCCTAGCAACACCCTAACAACCACTTAAGAATGCCCTAGCAACACTCTAACAACCACTTAAGAATGCCCTCGCAACCTACGAGTGTCCCAGCAATGCCCTAGTAACCACCCCGAACACCCTAGCAATCACTTAGGATTGCCCTAGCAACGTCCTGGGATCCACTCTGGACACCCTAGCAACTACCTGAGAATTCCCTAGCAATCACCTAAGAATACCTTAGCAACACCCTAACCACCACTTAAGAATACCCTAGCAACACCCTAACCACCACCTAAGAATGCCCTAGCAACCCCCTAACAACCACTTAAGAATGCCCTAGCACAGGGGTAGGCAAGTTCGGTCCTAGAGAGCCGCAGTCCTGCAAAGTTCAGCTCCAACCCTGAAAACAAAACTCACCTGCCTATAGGCTTAGTAATCCTGAAGACATTGATTAGCTTGTTCATGTGTGTTTGATTAGGGTTGGAGCTGAACTCTGCTGGACTGCGGCTCTCTAGGACCGAACTTGCCTACCCCTGCCCTAGCAACATTATAAAAACCACTTAAGAATGCCCTAGCAACACCTTAGCAACCACCTGAGAATGCCATAACAACCACATAAGAGTGTCCCAGCAGCACCCTAGTAACACCCTAACAATCACTTAGGAATGCCCTAGCAACATCCCAACAACCACTTAAGAATGCCCTAGCAACACACTAGCAACCACCTAAGAATGTCCCAACACTCAAACAATAATCTCTTAGCAACGCCCTGGAAACTAACTAGCAATACTCTAGCAACAGCTTGGCAACCACCCACAATTTCTTGAGAAAAAGTAAAAGTGAGTAGTTTTGCAGTGATGTTCAGTCAGTCAGGTGGGCCAGCGGTCACCAGATACTCTGCTCCTCAGAGACCAATAAAAGTGTGACGTGATAAAGAGAGCGGAAAGAAGATGACACAGCGCTCTGACACTTCAAACACACACAAGAGCGGCTGAAAATGGAAGCCATTCAAACAGTGCGACTTCCCTGAGGGACATGAAGGAGAGAGAGAGAGAGCCCTGCTGCGCACAGTGTGTGTGTGAGGCCATCAAGATCCTCCAGATACGTCTGTCACTCTCACACACACCCTTACAGGTGCGCAAACTGCATGTGTTTGCATAAAGTCTGTGTCTGATTAAATGTGACCGATATCTGTGGCACCAGCTCTATCAACAAAAACGAAGTTGCATAAATAACTAGATTTTTACTTTTTCTGAGGAAAATGTAAGCATTGTTTAACTTTTATGTTGTCCGTGCAATACTTGATTCATTCTATAAACCAATGTCAAAAAAAAATCACCTTGTGTCACTTTGTTGCTAGGGTGTTCTGGGTGGTTGCTAGGTGGTGATTTACTGACTCCAGAGCCCAACTCCAAGTCTATATGATATTCTGGTCTCTAGATACACAAAAATAAAGGTGCTTCACGATGCCATAGAAGAACCTTTTTGTCTAAATGGTTCCAGAAAGAACCTTTCTGTTTTACAAAAGGTTCTTTGTGGCGAAAGAAAGTTCTTCAGATTATAAAAAGGTAAGAAAGAGATGGTTCTTTAAAGAACCTTTGACTGAATGGTTCTTTGTGGAACCAAAAATGGTTCTTCTATGGCATCGCTGTGAAGAACCTTTATTTTTAAGTGTACAGTAGGTCTTTCTACACAGATATGATGCGATGCATTATGCCAGGGTTTCCCAAACGGGGGTTTGTAAGCTAATGAAAAGCTAATAATTAATTATATCAAATGTAAAATTTTAAGAAACAAATGCGATATAGCTTAGTGGGATTATCAAATCAAAGGCTGAGATTAATTAAAGAACTGTACACTGTAAAAAATAATCCGTAAAATTTACGGTAAAAATTTGGCAGCTGTGGTATGCGATATAGCTTAGTGGGATTATCAAATCAAAGGCTGAGATTAATTAAAGAACTGTAACATGAAAAAAAAACGTAAGGATTTGAAACATTAGCTTTTGATCGTGAAAGTGAAGAATTTCAGACAAATATTAGTATTGTAACTTGTAAAATAAATACTACCGTAAAATTAATGTCCAATACATGTAATGTCCAATACAGTTTTTCACTGTATATAGTAGGGGAATTTACCGTTAACCATTTAACAGGATTTTACTGTAGCATTTTTACAGTCTTTTAATGTTAAATTCAAGGTCATTTTTTACAGTGTATAACATGAAAAAAAAAAACGTAAGGATTTGAAACATTAGCTTTTGATCATGAAAGTGAAGAATTTCAGACAAATATTAGTATTGTAACTTGTAAAATATCAGAATGGGTTTGTAGTTGGGCGTGGCTTATTCAAGCCAGTCTGAAATGTGGGGCGGAGCAATTATCATAAATGAGTGAGCATTTATAAAAGAAAACTGCATGACCTTCTCCTGGCTAAGTTTCACATAAAATAGTGTGAGTGTTATGAACCGTATTTTAAGACATTTTGTAACACTCTCTGTGTCTGAATAAACAAAAGTGAGGAAAATACTTTCATTTTTAGCCTTCCTATGTTATTTACTTCTGATATACTACTACTACTACTACTACTACTACTAATAATAATAATAATGTATATTATTTATATTTTACTATATAAAATAATAAATCTTGTAATTTATATTATTATTAATTTCTACTTTTAATTATTATTTATTCATTAATTTATTTATATTTGTTCACTATTTTTAGCAGAATAAAAAAATATTCAGTCTGCCATTGTTCTCCCAAACTCACTATATCATGTGGGGGGGGTCTCTCCTCAACCACCACCAGTGTGCAGCATCCACTTGGATGATGCGACGGCAGCCACAGGACAACGGCGCCAGTGCGCTCACCACACACCAGCTACAGGTGGAGAGGAGAGAAAGTCATAGAGCCAATCAAGTGGATGGGGATTATTAGGAGGCCATGATTGACAAGGCCCATGGGGGCAATTTGGCCAGGACAACTAACTTCTTTTATGACTAACTTCTGTCATAACACCTTAAAAATCAGACCACTAATTCTAACAAAATGATCAGTCAGATAATAGTTAGGCCTACTACTGTCAAAAAATAAAACTTAAATTAAAAATAAAACGCGCGCCACACCTTGTGCTTCAAAACGCCACTCACACGATAAAAACTGAGCTGCTAATGACCAAAAACCTCAAAAAGTAACTTTAAATCATTTTTAAATCCATTAATAACGTTAACGAGACATTATAAATTAATAGACAACAATTTATTATTATTAAATTAGGATAACTCGAATTAAAAACTAAATGATTAATAGGCTAATAAAAAATAGCCTAATAAATAAATAAAGACAGAAGGGCAAATGACAGAATAAACCTATATAAATCTAGGCTATATCTAAATTCACTGTAAAAGTATAAATAGGCTGTCCTTACACTAAAGACCCATTTTACCTCATTCGATCCTTAAAATGACTTTGGAAGTTTGGATATTGATTCGGTCATACTAAATTTGGACTTGAATAAACCAGTTAACGGAATGATAGGTTACGTTACCACATGAAGCACAGTTTTAGGGCTACCTGACAAACATTTCACACTTCACAGTGATCTCGTTATAAGATCTGAAGGTTGGACTCACGTGTCCGGTGGAGCGCAGCTGTGCGGGGTCTCGATCAACTCCTCCGGGCTGCACGTCTCATGATCGGCTCTGTGTGGCGAGCGCCGCCGCTGTCCGCGGTTCTGGAGACCGTCGCGCACCGGAGACGCGGCGCAGCATCGCCCTAGACGCGCCGGCGAGCGCCCGATCAAGTCCAGCGGATCGCTGGGAAACGCGTCTCTGGGTCGCGAGTCGGTGCGTGGAAGTGGCGCAGATGCCCGCCGCTTCAGGGGTCTCGGCGGCTGAGGGAGACGAGTCTGACCGGCAGGAGCGGGAGAAGAGGAGGAGGAGGGCGGGGAGGGGGAGGAAGAGGAGGCACGGATCCCCTCGCCTTCGTCAGACATCGGGAGAGCTCGTGCTCCGCATCTGGTGAAGGAAAGGGCTTCTTGAAACTGAGACGCGCAACTTCAGCAACAAGTGGGAGCAGAGTTTTGACCTCAAAACACACCCAGTGACACACACACACACACACACACACTCAAACACCTCAAATGAGAGCTTGAAACACTACATAGACACAATACATTGTGTGGATTGAAACACTACAGACACAAGTATATGCCTGATGAACATTTATCCGTCATCCGTATGACTTTCTTTCTTCTGTGGAACACAAAAGGAGATGTAGCGAAGAATGTATGAGCTGCTCTTTTCCACACAATTAAACTGAAAAAAAGAAGCTTTTCCTTGAAAGTCTTACTTGACAGTCACCACTAGTCACTTTTATTGTATGCAAAAGAGGTAATCACATTCTGAACGTCTTCTGAAGTGTTTTGTCATTGAAATGAACTGGTTTTATGATGTTAAAAGAATGTTAAAATTCACTCAAATTTTTTTTTTTTTTAATTTGCTCAAAATGTACCCTCAAACCATCCAAGATGTAGACGAGTTTGTTTCTTCATGGGAACAGATTTGGAGAAATGTAGCATTACATCACTTGCTCAGCAATAGATCCTTTGCAGTGAATGGGTGCCGTCGGAATGAGAGTCCAAACAGCTGATAAAAACATCACAATAATCCACAAGTAATCCACACCACTGCAGTCCATCAGTTAAAGGGGTTATATGATGCGATTTCAATTTTGTTGAAAGCCTGGAGCTGATTTGTGCTGGTCGCTGAGGAAATACATCAACTTTGTGCTGTGGATCGCCGGATCAGCTTTCACCGTGGACGAAGCGGAGTCCAGCCCGGGGTCGTCACATGTGGTTGCCACAAGCCCGCCGGCCGCTCCTTTGTCGAATCCGCTGGCCGCGCCGTTTTCTAGCCCGTCGTGTGTGATGCTGTGTGTTTTGTTGTGAAAGCGAAACTACTTTGTTTGGTCTTCCAAAAGAGGACACAACTAGAAATCAGTGGTTAAGTTGTATTTACAACACTGTTCCAGAACAGTTCAAACCAAATATTCAAATGTGTGCAGCGCATTTTGTGGAGGATGAGGACTGTTTCCTGTGAAAGTAGCCTACAATGCCAATGTGTCTGTTTCTATAAAGTGGGGCAGTTCCAACTTTGCAAGGACAGTCTGGCGCTTCTGACTCACAGCCTGTAAGTATGTTTTTTATATTTAAAGAATTTATAATGGGTTTTATTGTTTTTGTCTTGTTGCGCCGGGACACAGGCATCTGTGGTAGGGACACAGGTACATGGTAGGGGTGTAACATTTCAGTCACATGCTTGAGGTATTCGGCCAATCACAATGCACTTGGATAGCTGGCCAATCAGAGCACACCTCACTTTTCAGACCGATGAGCTTTGTAAAAATCGACGTGTTTCAGAAAGGCGGGGCATAGAGGAGAAACAATAATGTACAG